AATTAATTATCTCAAACGATAATTATCCAAAAGATAATCAAATATGACGTAACATTTAAAACGATGATATAGCCATACTACTTTGGATATTTTATTTTAAAGGATACACTCGAGCTTACAATCAATACACTGCAATACAATCTTACCCCGAACTAACCCTTTTGCAAAATTAATTTATCATCAAACAACCCATTATTGTCCGGCAATCATCGATAGAACTTGAATGTTAAGAAACTTTCAGAAATTTCTTCTTCTTCTTTTTTTTTTTTTTTTTTCCCTCCCTTCCATTCCTCCCTTCTCGCTATTCTTGCACCCTGTCACGAAATTGCATCGGGGGCATGCTCAAGCAACCTGTACCATCTGTCGTGTACTGGCTGCAACTTAATGGCTGGTATGGTGCACGTCACGTATAATCGTGTTCGTGTTCTCAGGGTGACCTCGCGTGACCAGACAATTACAGGTTTCCAGTACGCTGTATGCGGCCCAGAAGTACCAATCGTTTAGGATGAGACCGTCTATTCTCAGGCCCTTCCATCGCGAATGTTGATTTTAACAACATTCTCCGAATAATTTTTTTTTCTTTTTTTTTTTTTTTTTTTTTTTTACGACGTTCTAAGATGAGATTAGCTCACGCTTCGGTTACAGTTGATTAGCATCACCAGTATATAAAACTGTAATTTTATAATAATCAGATACGAAGATACGCGTAATTTTCTTTCTGATCGTTGGTTTTCCTTCTAGTTAATACTCGTTTCACGATCTTTTTGATTTTGCTAGAGTTTACTGATTGCAATTTTGCGATGTATAAACCGGAGAAAGATTGTGTCTCTTGCGATTGGCGAAGTTTTGCGCGATCAGATAATTGATTAGTCCAATGTACACTGCAAGAAATTGTTAAATTGCTAAAATAATATAGCAAATCGATATAAGAGATCAATATAAAGTTATTTGAAAGTTTCAACAGTTTATTTATTCTGGAAAGTTATACGAGTTGTAAGTTATATTTGAAGATATACCAAAGTGGAAGGTTAGATCTAAATAGAGAGGAGAAATCTAAGAAACGATGGATTTCAAGAGGTTGCATTGATAATATACAACAACAACTTTCACTTTCAATTCTTAACCCGAATATCATTGATCAACACGAATTTTTCATCGAATATCACGAGATAATAATAATCCATTTCACACGATTTTATCAGGACTTTTCTCAATCCGAAAAAGTCTCGATTCAGACATGCCATAGGTTGGTCACGTGTGTTGGAGGGGTTCGAAAAGGGATTCGAAAGGAAGGAGTCTTAAGGGGAGGCCGGGTTCAGGTTAGTTGCGGGTGTTTCCCGTGGAATGAGCGCACTTTTATAAACTTTGTCGTGTACTAATCCTCCACCAGCTCGGATCACCCCAACCAACTACGCCCGACTCACGAAACAGCCGCCATGATGCCGAGAAACTTCATCAAGGCCGTCATTCCGCGTTCTAGAAAGAGAGGGATCTGCTCGATCCCTGCTTAGACCGGTTTGGTCCACCTTCCTGGTAAATTGGATCACGATACGTGATGTCATTAGCGATATTTTTCGTGACTTTATTCGTCGTGGGAAGACACGGGGTGAGGCATGGCGTCGAAAGATTTGCTATCGGTAGATATTAATGAAAAAGAGAAAAGATGTATAAATCTGTTTTAAATGGATGTGCCTTTTTTTTT